AATCCAATCCGCCTAGCTTCAGCCGTCAGTCTGATGTACGTTTCCGCCATCGTCTTAAAGTTTCGTGCCTTGATGTTGATGTCATCGACGAAGTCAAGAAGCTGGTTGGACTTCCTGAAGATCGTGCCACTCGTAACTATCCCATCTCTTCTGATCACACCTTCTAATGCGATGTTAAATAACAGACACGAAAGTCCATCACCTTGCCGTAACCCCCTTCGATATTCAAACAATTCGAACAACGCACATCTCTCGATCCATCGTTGCCTTGACCAATCGCGTCAGTTTTTCCGGAAATCCGTACTCGTGTATAATCTGCCATAGCTGATTTCGATCAATTGCGTCGTATACGGATTTGAAGTCGATGAACAAATGATGTGTGGGCACGTTGTATTCGTGGCATTCCTGATCCGCGGTAGCGCGGGCATCCATGAATCCCACCTGGTATTGCTCCACGAACTCTCTTGCAAATGGTGACAGGCGGTGGCATAGGCATAGGCATGATTTCATTAACAGTGGTGGCCAATTTGTTTGTGTCCATTTGCGTTAAAATTGGTGAAAATTTGTGATCCATTTGGTTGGAAGTTGTGAAAGATTTATCTTGAAATCGATCGCCAAGTTCTTGTAAAAATTGGGACCATTTCATTGAAAATTGGAGCTAGGTAGGGTCTAGGTGTGGGAGCTGCCTCCTTGGCGTCGGTAGCATTGGTACTTAGTACGGAAAACAAGATCGACGGAAAACAATATCGACGAAAAACAATATCGACGGAAAACAAATCAAGGAACAAAAATATATATCAATTTTGCAAGAAATTTCACCTGTTTTTCATTGTAAGCTCTGGAAATCAATTTGAAACTGTATTTTTATGCGGTTCCGTTAGAAGTACTGAATTTAGTTCAAGATTGAGATCAGTTTAGTTCAAAATTACTTATTCAATATAATTCGATTTTTGTGTGTGTTGTGTCCAGTTTCGTTTTTTTTTTAAATTTCCACTTTCATTGGCGATATTTTGTAATCAGACAATCAACGAACTTAAAATGTATTATGTTTTTGTTTTTTCTTAATGTTATTTCATGACATTCCTGAATTAATTCAGAAGACTTTAATTTAATTTTGTTTAGCCATTATGAAATTTTTCTCAAATGTTTATTTCTAAACTCACAGGAACTTATTTATTTAAATTTACGTGCATACAGCAAACATTTGATTCTGTGAACAAGAATCTCTTTGAAAATATTTGATATATCTTCAAAAAACCTATCTATAAATATATTAACCATTTCCTATGGAATCTTTTTGCTTAAAATCGGAGTCGAGGAGTCAGAGTCAATTATTTTAAAAGCAGAGGAGTTGGATTCGGAGTCAGAGTCAGGCGGTTTAGACCCGACTCCACAGTATAGAAGTACATACACGGAAAAACGAGTTTATGCATTGATGACTATTTTTTTAACCACTTTTGGGAGCTTGTTCGAGCTGTCATAGAGTGGTTGAAATTTATAGCAAAAAAGTGTATAGAATTTAGACATTTTCAGAGAAAACCATTTTTCAACAAAAGTGTTTAAATTTTATTCACTGGTGGCTGAAAAAAAACTTGGGAACAATTATTTTCCGAAAACGCCGCCGGCTAACAATGATTAACTTTTTCGCAGGTAGATACATTGTTTATAGTATCATTATAATAGACAATTTGATAGTAATTTATAACTTTCCTTTTGTTTCAAGAGTGTGGTGAGAACTTCCAGAAGAAGTCTTCATCATCGCCAGCAGTGGGAAGGAATTACTGCTTCCTTCGCAATAGAGTGCTGGAACAAAAACCAAGTTTTCTTCCTATTCCGTTTCCTATATTCTTCCACGATAAAGTTGGAGGAGCTAGTGAGCAGCAGATTCAGCTGTTACAAGTGTTGTCCGGTACAGTTGGACAGGATGTGTGGGATTAGGGGGATCAGGCCAAAGAGATGGCCGATGCTAATAGTAAGTATATCTAACAAGGTACATTCTTTCATTATTTAGTAACTTTTGATCTACATTACAGAGGGCTTCCAACGGTAGCACGATCCGGATCGAGTTCAGTGGGCAATGGAACGGGAAGGTCGCCGGACACGTAGAAAGTGGCTGAATTTGAAGTGTCTCTGATTGAGTTAGCCTAGGATGCACAGCAAGTTTTCGTCGATGTTTCCGCGATATGGAGTACTGGCACGCCTACGTCACGGAATGGTTGGTTCAAGAGGGGAAACTGGCAGCAAAAGTCTGAAGATTTCCCCGAACTCTGCGTCACCATGTTGAAGTCACCAAGAAATAAACGTTCTTCATTATTGTTGTTTTGCTACTATTTTTAATAAAATATGATGGAAATATACGAAATCAACCATTTAAAATCGTTCCGGTGTACACAATTTAACCACTTTTGAGAAAAACGTCTTTAGTCATTAATGATTAAAATTTAACCAGTTTCGAGAAAAACGCGTTTATTCATCCGATGAGTAAACAGCGTTTATTCATTTTATGAGTATGTGCGGGTTTTCTCGAAACTGGTTGAACTCTAAGCATTAATGCATACTTTTTTCTTAGCGTGTATATTTTCGTAAAGGGTGATACGGTCAAAATTTGGTCAATATCAACTTGACGTATTTCTTTCAATTTTGCATTTAAAAAACCTGAACACCCCTCATTTTGAAGGTGTGTGTGTGTAGAATGTTGCTCCTATTTTGATTTTGGAATTCACTCTTCAGTTGTCAAAATGCCGTCCAAGCAAGAAGAGCAGCGTATCAAAATTTTGCTCGCGCATCGCGAAAATCCGAGCTACTCGCACGCAAAGTTGGCAAAATCGCTAAAAGTTGCCAAATCAACCGTTACAAATGTAATTAAAGTGTTTGGGGAACGTTTGTCGACAGCCAGGAAGTCTGGATCGGGGGGAAATCGAAAACCGGAAGCCGCTGAGACGACAAAGAGAGTTGCCGGTAGTTTTAAGCGAAACCCTAACCTCTCTCTCCGAGATGCCGCAAATAAGCTGGGTGTATCGTCTACAACCGTGCATCGAGCCAAAAAACGAGCCGGACTATCGACTTACAAGAAGGTAGTGACTCCAAATCGCGATGATAAACAAAATACGACGGCCAAAGCGCGATCCCGGAGGCTGTACACGACGATGCTGACGAAGTTTGACTGCGTGGTAATGGACGACGAAACCTACGTCAAAGCCGACTACAAGCAGCTTCCGGAACAGGAGTTTTATACGGCAAAAGGAAGGGGAAAGGTAGCAGATGTTTTCAAGCACATGAAACTGTCAAAGTTCGCAAAGAAATATCTGGTTTGGCAAGCCATCTGTACCTGTGGCTTGAAAAGCAGCATTTTCATAGCTTCCGGGACTGTCAACCAAGAAATTTACGTGAAAGAGTGTTTGAATAAACGTCTGCTGCCTTTCCTGAAGAAACACGGTTGTTCCGTACTGTTTTGGCCGGATTTGGCATCTTGCCATTACGGTAAAAAGGCCATGGAGTGGTACGCCGCCAACAACGTGCAGGTGGTTCCCAAGGACAAGAACCCTCCCAACACGCCAGAGCTCCGCCCAATTGAGAAATACTGGGCTATTGTCAAGCGGAACCTAAAGAAGACCAAAAAAACTGCTAAGGGCGAGCAGCAGTTCAAGGCAAACTGGCTTTCTGCGGCGAAGAAGGTGGACAAGGTGGCTGTACAAAATCTGATGGCAGGGGTCAAGCGTAAGGCCCGGCAATTCGGATTTGGAAAAGCGGAAGCCTAACTGAATATTTTTCCTGAATTTTATACTAATTGAACTTGAAAAAGAAATTTAATTGGATTTTTTAAATAAACGATTTCACCGATTTACACGCGTTTTCCCTTGACCAAATTTTGACCGTATCACCCTTTAGAAGACTTGATTCAAATACTTTTACTATAATAATAAAATTATTATCATTATGCTGTTTTTGAAGTAGGTAATGTTAGTGGAGGTAAATTATATTTTTATTTGAATTCTTCTACACAATATTTTGATGCTTTTGACTTTTTTTTGGGATAGAGAAATATTCTAGACCACTCTAGAGCTAGAATTCTCGACAGTCACCACTAGGCATCCAAACCGATTTATTATAAAATGATTATTATATTGTTATTTGCAACTTAAACTAGACTACATGTTCGCCTTTTTTAAATTCTATTATTTGTACTATACGTTTGGCTTGAAAACAATATTGAAAGCCTCATCTCTGCTATTGCATGTTAAGAAATTGCCATTACGAAAGCTAGAAAACAAGGGCTCTACCTATGCCGTGTAGATATCCAGAGTTACACTAATGGTCATAAACAATACTTGTCTCTTCCACCGTTTTGCAAGACAAGCGCGTAAAAAGAAGAACAATTGGCCATTTCGATTGCTTTTTCTGCTTTTGGGTGCATGCAAATTGGTAAACATTTTCTTCCAACCAACCAGCGTTGAAACCGCCTTTCAGCAACCACCTACATAGAAGAGCGTTGCCTAATCAAGTTTTAGTCGGTCAATTTTCACCAGCTTCGCACGTATAGATGCTCCGTTACTGAAGGTGAAAAAAAGCAAAAGCGAAAACGAACAACAACAACAACAGCACTACTGCGATATCTGTTCCTAGTTCGACCCTTCTTCGCTACGGTATCTTCGAACTGTATGGCAATCTAGCTCTCCCGAATCGTATGAGAGGTGAAAAAAGCAGTTTTACTTTTGTTGTGCTCATTAATATTCATACGAGGAAAACCACGTGGTGGAACTAATGTATGCTTGTGGATGGGTGGGTTGGATGGAACTAGACTTCTTTATTTTGTTTTCCAAACTAGCTCCTCGTGCGTTATGCCTATATGTAGTGGACATTACCGGGCTTGGATCGTCGGTTGTAAGGCGATATACAATTATGATTGTTTTTTTCCGTCACCAAACGCAATTGGAAATAAATATCAAATTGACTTTTTGTTCGCCTATTTATTTAATGATGTGGTGTTCATTTTCTTTCAGTTTAGAGGAGTTGATATTGGAGAAAAATGAACTTCAAGAGCTGCCCAATTGTCTACAGAAGTTGATCAATTTGAAAAGTTTGAATGTGGCGTATAACCAGTTGGACAGACTGCCTGCCTTCATGGTGAACAACAACATGCGTCCCGTGGGACTTTTCGTAGGTGTTTCCAGAATGGTTGACTAAATTTAATGGTTAATCTTAGAATTTTTATTGCAGCAGCGGAATGATTCCCTAAGAAATGGTATCCAGAGAGATTCGTTGGATAAGGAAGAGGATAAGATCGAACTTCCACTGACTAAAGTAAATCTGAGGGGAAACCAGCTGAAAGGAAGCATTATCCTAGGAAATTATGGAGTATTGTTTTTTATTTGATCTTAAGGTCAACGGAATTTAACATTTTTTTTATTATTATAGCTCCTCACACAACTGGACGTCAGTGAGAATTCGATTGAGATTATGGATCTGTCGGCACTGGATAAACTGGAAACGATACAATGCTGCAGGAATAACCTGAAGGAACTCACACTCAATGGAAGACATCTGCATTCATTGATTGCTGGAAATAATAGTAAGTTTTCAGAAGACCTTCTTCTTCATCTTCTTCCTGTTTTTCTTGCCTATAACGTTTCAACTATAAAATAACACGTCTGTCCTCAAATTAGTATTCTTTGAGCACTTTCACAGTTGAACATTCAGAGCTTTTCTATTATCGGTCAAGAAATAGGTTCACGCAAGCCCTGCAAATCGACTTTGCTATCCGCTGTAACAATTGAACCTCTCATTTCCCCATTTCTCTTCCCAGACCTGACAAAGATTATGGTTCGAGCAACACCGACAAACCTCAAACACATCGACATCAGTTTCAACAGTCTGCGGGAGCTTCCCGATTGGTTGGTTGGATGTCACCAGCTTCGCACGCTGTACGCCAACAACAATCAACTGCACGTCATATCGGAGCACCTCCTCAACAACGAGCACGCTACTATACTTACATTACATCTCGCTTACAACAAACTGACCACCTTCCCCCCGATGGTCAAGCGGAAACTGCCACTTCAGAAATTGTACCTGCAATGTAACCACATTGAAGATTTGCCGGAGAATTTCTTCATTGCATGCGAGCGACTTACGATACTGAACATTTCCAGCAACAAGCTGATGACCCTGCCGATCATTTTCGGTACAAATTGTAATCTGGAACGACTTTACGCTACTAACAACAGTCTCACAGATCGCGTTCTAGATTCGCTCATATGTTTAACTCGATTGAAAGTTCTGCATATAGGCTACAATCACCTAACCACCTTACCAGAAACGTGCATAACTTGCTGGGGAGAAATAGAAGAGTTGGTCATCTCGGGCAACAGACTAAGACATCTTCCGGAAAATCTTACCAACTTACGCAATCTACGAGTGCTGCGAGTACACTCAAATCAGCTCCAGACCGTTCCTTCGTTGGCAAAGAACCTGAGCCTTCGAGTGCTGGATCTTGCCCACAATCAGCTAGATAAAATCAATATGGTATCTCTGGTTTCCAAGCACCTACAATTTCTGGATCTCTCAAGCAACACTCAACTCCAGGTCGATCCCCATCAACTACAAGCATGTCGATCGCAACGACCCATGAGCTTGGTGGACGTTTCCGGTAAGAATAGACCATCTCTTCCGACTGCTCCATGGCCGTATCAGGAAAATGAAGAATACGAACCATGCTGGAAAGTTGGCTTTGCGGAAACTCCCGGTTGTCTTCCAAAGTTGTACATCTCTCAGCTACGATTACCAGGATTTTGTAATTCGGAAGGATTGTTCGGTATGTTCGATGGAGAGGTTAACAATACAATTCCCAACGTGCTGGTTAAGACTATTCCGAAAATTTTGCTGGAAGAACGGACAGTTAAGGAAACGGCCAATGACTACATGAAGTATACGTTGCTTTCGGCTCATAGGGAGCTGAAACAGCAAGGGCAACATGAAGCGGTCAATGTGACGCTGTGTCATATATCGAGGAGTAGAGTTCCTAGTGAGATTATGAGCTATTTACCGCAGGCAGCCAATGGAAGGAAGTTCATCCTGAGGGTGGCTAGCGTAGGTGAAAGCGTGGCTGTGCTGATCAAGCATAACAGATGCGTCAAGTTGACCAATGGAAATCCTTGTCGGAGAATTGGAATGAGTGCAAATTATCCGGTAACTGTACCGGATCCGGAGGTGACGGAAGTAGTTTTGAGCGATGCTGATGAGTACCTGGTGATCGGAAACAAGAAGCTATGGGAGGTGATTACGATGGAAACGGTTGCCGAGGAAATTCGAAAGGAAGAGAATATCTTGCTGGCGGCAAAACGAGTTCAGGATATTGCGCAGAGCTATGGAGCTGAGGAGAACATCAGTATTATTATTGTAAAATTTAACAATTTGGGTACGGATATTGATTTTCTGATGAGAGAGTTGAGGCAAACGATAAGGAAGAAGCCGACGGGATCAGGTAGTATTATGTCGGGGTTTTGTAAGTGTGGATGCTGCTGTGAGTCAAACAACAGCTGCTGTCATTCCGGTGCATCGAGCACGTTTATGAGACATCCTTCGGGAAGGAGTGATCGATCGTCCCCGAGTGGCCAGAGTGACCAAACTTCGGGTAGTGAAAGTCAGATGAATGGAACCAAACCTAGATGTTTGGATGTGACTGCTCTGAGTACACGAAAACCCAATACCTATCTCACCAACGAGCGACGAAGTTTACGAGGAGGCGTTGTGAGAGCAGTCCGAGCAAGAATCGAAGAAGAGAAGGAGCGTGAGGTTGAAGAATCGGATTCCGCCATGTCAGAGGAGCAGTTCAAATGCTGGGAATACATGCTAGAGCAAAACACTCAACTTCTCTTCGACAAAGAGCTGAATACAATATCTCGAGCATTTACCAAGCGACCTGGATCTAGCACCAATCTGACAAGACCACAGATGAAATCCTTGTCAACGAGTTCACCACAACTGGCTCACGATAGTGATAGTTGTTTCAATTCCTCGCTCAGTGGCTACAACACAATGGCGCACTCCGTCAGGACTACCCCATTCCTCTCGAAACATTTCGGCAGTACAAGATCCTTCCATCCATCATCTTCGCAAAACTTCTTTAAGCCCATTCGGTACAATCAGACGCGGCCTCAACCGATCAATGCCGGTCCGAATGCAGCTTACTTCGGCTCTCTCCAAAGGTTGATGCCGTACAATTTAGAGTATGATTTCAATGCCATGCAAGAGAGGCACGCTGCCAACAACGAAGGAAGCGCAGTTGAACTGGACGCAGTGGATCCAGACGGAGGCCGAATGCAGCAATATTGGGGCGTCGCGACTACGGAACTGTGAGATTATTCACTTACCACTGTGCGCGAATAAAGCTGAAACTGAAAGAATCGTGTTTATATTTTCAATTTTAAGATGTATTGTTTGTAAAGGTCTCATTCTCGTTTCGTTTAGTAATATTTCAATTTATAGTATGATTTCAATGCCATGCAAGAGAGGCACGCTGCCAACAACGAAGGAAGCGCAGTTGAACTGGACGCAGTGGATCCAGACGGAGGCCGAATGCAGCAATATTGGGGCGTCGCGACTACGGAACTGTGAGATTATTCACTTACCACTGTGCGCGAATAAAGCTGAAACTGAAAGAATCGTGTTTATATTTTCAATTTTAAGATGTATTGTTTGTAAAGGTCTCATTCTCGTTTCGTTTAGTAATAAATTAAATAAATATGTACACATTAGATTTACATAGTACTCAGCTATCTGTATAAGGATCTGCTTCTTTGTGTAGTTTCTACTTAAACGTTAAATGCTCTCTATTTACAATGTTCGAATCGCGCTACTGGATAACGTTAGGAAAAATTAGTTTAGTGTACACCTATAGATTTCTTTCAAACTGCTCTGGCTTCCGTTTAGTAAAATGCTAAGTGTTACAATTTGCGTTGAAATTTCGATTGCAATCTCAAAACAGGACTAGAACTTTGACACGGAATCGGACCGAAAATATCCTCTAGTTTTGCATGTGATCTGGGAAATAACGAACTCAAATTCTGCTTACTGTTAGTGTAGGATTAGCTTGTAAGGAACTCATTCAGTTTTAGTGTCTCAAACTATATATGCTGCGGGAAATATAAATACGCTATGGTAAATCATAAGCACTGGTTTTTGTGATTGGTTACTTCGAAATCCTATTCCATCAAATGAATTGCAACAATCAAATTCCTGCTTTGTGTTACTCAGTAAGACTAGTTGACTTCGAATCGGTTGGACTAGCTCGTTCTCGCTTTTTTGTTGCTGGTGGTTGCACTTGACTACTAGGTATATATATATTTAGTTTTTGGTTGTATAAGATCAATATTTCAACACAATTAAAAATAAGAAAAACTAGGCATTACACCCTTGTGTGCTCCCGCATGGGGGATGCGTTTCTTAATAGTGACATATTTAGTTCTTTGAACTAGTAACATTGTGGAAACCACGAAGGATTTGTTTCATTATTACGTACAATAAGACCATTGGAAGCGATACACTGTCCATAATCGCATATCAGTTCCATCTTTGCTTGATTTCCGATCTATATGGGACAGTTATGCGATTATGGGTAGTTCACTTTTGATGAGCAATGTTTGGCTGGTGGGAAATATAAACTATGATGATTGACATTGAGGTGCTGCTTCTTCTTTTTTGTGCTTTGAGCATTTCTATATGTTTCGAAATTGAGATAGAAAGCTACCACTTACAGAATAGCCTACCGTTGTATAAATTGGTATACTGCGTGGCGGGGAAAAAAAATCAATCCAAGTAGGAACTTGGATAGACCGGGAATCTAATTGGCGCTGTGTAGTCTGCTTTGAATTATCGATCTCAGTCGACAGATTTTTTTTTGCAAACGGCCTTTTGTCCTTTTGATCTTCTGTCTTCAATCTTTTGTCATTTTGACCTCCTGTCTTCGACAGTTGTCCATGGTACATACTGCCTATACTCACATATAAGCTTCATATGCAAAAAGTTGATGTTGAGAAAATGGCAGTCGATGTTTTGAAGTGCATTTCCTTTACAAATGTTTAAAAAATTCTAGTACCGTGCCGATTCAAATTTCGGACACTTAAACTCGAATTTCGGACACTTTTAAAAGTTGATTATCTCGGTCGAATATGATCCACATGTCTTGTAAATTTTAAATTTTTTTGACTAGTGCCCTCCACGATCATCTAACATTATTACTTTGTTTCTAACTGGATGTAATATTTAATTAAAAATGAAAGTGTCCGAAATTTGAATCGTCCGAAATTTGAATCGGAACGGTACACTGAAACCTCCGTTTACGAAGTTTTTTTTAAAGCGCTATTTAGTTTACGTAACTCTTTTTGAGAAGTAAATCCCAAATAATGAGATTTTTTAAACGAAGCAATTTAAAAATCACGAGTTTTTTTGCGATTCTGGGAAATTCTATGAAATACTCCACAGTATGGGTATTTTTAGAATAAGGGTGACGTGTAGGAAGTGGAAATCCATGACTGACGTCATTTTGAAATCCAGTATGGTGGTTTCCGGTTACTGAAAATTAAAGTATACTGTCAAATGCCGCGCAATATGGGTATTTTTTGGAATCAGGGTGACCAAATAGGCTTGAGAAAACCACAACGGGCTCACAATGCCCTGCACAAGAGCAAATTAGCCTTAAAAATGTAACCTCGAGTATAGGACCTTAAAATAAACCAAACCATTCTTTAATATGATAAAAGTCTTAAATCTTCAGGTATTTCAGACTCAACAGCAGTAAAATTACATCAATTCGTATTTTTTTAATACGAAGATTAGGGAAAAAATATAGCTTTAGACATATCTGGTAAATATATCTGAGATTTTTTGATTAAATTACGATTAAATGCAAAATCGTGAATGAGTCTTATAAATTTCAAATAATATCAAGAACCCCATTTAGAACATTGTTACAAGGTTTAGAGAGTTAAATTTCTACTTCCGAGGATATGAATAAATGTTCATAGTTCAAAGTATAGAATTATATCACATCTGGAAAAGTTTTGCTGCCCAAAAATCCTTATGTCCACAATCCTAAAATTTTATGATAAATCCTGACTAAGTCTCACAAAATTTATCAAAATTCATGAATAAAAAAATAAAATGAAAAAAAAACTGCTGTAAATCTGGGATCACAGTTTGATAGAAAAATTAAAATCAATTTTTTTCTCCAACTCATACTGACTGAAGATTATAAATGAAATTATAAATAATTTGAAGTCCGAAAGCGTGTTTTTTTTCTCTTGGCTCTTCCCTAGTTTAAGATACGGCTTTGTCCTCTAAACACCCCTTTTAGCTACGCCAATGAGCATAATACACCTTAAATACTGGTGAGAGGCTTCCAATCGCGAGATCATTGCTTTATACAGAACAAAATTTCTTATACGGCAATCTCCTGAAGATAGCGGTGGGTAATTCAAATACACCTATCGTTATTAGTAGCATGATGCTTAACCAACCATGCTGATTTTTTATATTAGTTTGGAAAAAAAAAATATCTCAATTGGTTAGACAACAACCGATAAACAGTGGTGCGTAGATTAAATTATTCACCGCACTTTTCGGAAGATTACTGTAGAATGTTTTTTTTTTCCCTGCACCATCCCATTGCTCATCAAAACCGATCATCCACGTGCCCAGATTAATCGATACGATAAATCAATCTAACCTAACCAAACTATGCCCTACTGGCCCCTCTCACCCGGACCGTTCAGCACATCAATAGAGCATAGCCGTCGGTGCATGATTACCGTTGGTTTGTGGTACCGCGGAAATTACTGCTGCTGCAACCGATGGTGGTGGTGGAGGTGGCACCGGTTGTTGCTGCTGTTGCATTGCTGCCGGAACGACGACGGTTCCATTCGGTGGGCACGATTCGCCGAGCCACGAGTCGGGACTGGGCGGAAAATCGGGATAACCGTGGGCTGGACTAGAATCGTTACTCATGTCGGATACCGCACTACCGTGCATCCCGTGGGGACCTCGGGGACCGCCATGGTGCATTGAGTTGACAGGTTGACCTGAGCGGGACAACAGAAAAAATGAAACCCATTAACCGAGGATTCCTTAATGATGGCGGAGGAGCCACTTACTCACCTAGCGGTGTGTATACGATATTGTCTGGATAGGAACCGAAATGGTGTCCCGGTCCCATGGGCGGAGGTGAATGACTAGATAGATACGGTGGTGGACTACCGTTACCGTGGATGTACGAACCTCGGCCGCTATGAGGTGAAGCACCGTCTTCCAGGCCCATGTTCGACGTACTAAAGCTATCGTTGCTAAGATCTGAAAGGATTGTTGAAGTGTGTCATTAGAATATTTCAGTGCGAGAATATAACTCCAAAACTGACCATGGTGGCTGAAGCTATCTAGATCGATTTTCAATTCATCCTTATCTAAGAGCTTATCATGCCTACTCGGTGAACCACCACCCTTCATCGAACGGAAATATTGGCTCCATCTCGTTCGGCCGGCATCCTTTTTCAGTCGTTTTTCTTTGGCTCGCCTGGAGAGAACAAATGGCTTCAATGTATCATTCAGTATCCTTTGAGCAAGCAACTTTGTACCAGCATGCATGGTTGAATTATTATATTGTCTGCAGTACAAAGCAGCTCTCATCCACTTTAACTAACTCCGATTGCATCGGCAACCAGGCGAGGGCTCTTACCTATTCTGGAACCACACTTGCACTACTCGCATATCCAGTCCAGTGTCCTGAGACAACTGTTCGCGGACGTGACGTGCTGGCTTAGGACTACTATTGTAGGCACTCTTCAGAGTCTCCAGCTGTTTGGCGGTAATTGTTGTGCGAGGACGTTTGTTTGATGATTCACCATCCAATGATCCATCGGAGAGATATAGACCTATGTCGGGGGGATCCATAAAAATAGCCAATAAAAAATGAGGGTACTTTCATCACCGTCGGGCGGTGTAATTGATATGTTTGTCAAAATGTTCATGCTCATGCTGGACGGGATGGTTAAAAGGGGTTTTGAGATGCGAATGAATGATGGCAACCGCTTCCGCTTGAAAGAGCCAATATTTCATCTAAAACACTCACCTTTTGCTTTCGCTGCTTCGTAGTCGGGCTTGCAAATGAGTTTCCCATCGTCTACCAGGTAGAACTCATCGCCAGTGTTGAGCTGCCGCGAGCACATCGAACACATAAAGCACTGTAGATGGTAAACATTGTCCTGGGCCCGTCGGACCACTTGAGTGGGTGGAATTCCCAGGTCGCAAGCCGCACATTTCGTACCGTACCGCCTGTAGGACCCGCAACATACATAGAAGAGAGTTAAACATTAACATATAAACAGTTTTCTTTCCTCGGGCGGGCTGCCAATGTCACTGGAGCCGTGATGTTTAATACTTACTTGAAGAAGTCGTCTTTGCAAAATAATTGACCATTTCGAGCGAAACATTTCTCATTGAGCTGCACGTGACAGTCGCTACACTGGAGACACTTGGCGTGCCACGTTCGGTCGGATACCTTAAGGATAAATCGGTCTAGTATCAGTTCGTGGCAGCCGCCGCACTTTGGGATGGTAGCTGGAAGATTATAAGAGAGAAAAACAAACGATTATAGCAGGCTTTAGGCAAGACATGGATCATAGATAGGATTTTAAATTATTTAGTGTTTTCAGTAATGAGTTTTTTTTCTGAACCCTGAAATTATCAGCAACATTTATATTATTATTAAGCTAGGCAAAGCAATGTTTTTTTTGTGTTCAAATCTTAACAATTCTTGACTGTGGGTTTTGGTTGTTTTTTGTATTATTAGTCACTAACACATTTTAGGTCGTTCGTGACATCCGTTGATGTGATTTGAACTCGTGACCTTTAGCGTGAGAGGCATGGTTACTAACCTCTACGCTGGGTCTGTTTCCTTCTGTAGAATTAGTTCCTTAGAGGTAGAAATAAGCTCCAAATTACTATTTTTCGGATGCTGAATACAGCTTTCCAGATCTCAGACTTGATGATGAACTAAGATGGGCGTTATCATTTTTCCTGGAGAAAATTATATTAATTCTGAATATTTGTGATCATGTGCTTGAGTTGGATTTTTTTAGAAATGAGAACAAGTTTTAAAATTTATAGCATAGAAAGTTTTTGGAAGCTCGTAAAAGCGAAATGTTCTGACATTCATGGTGTTTTGGGAAAAAAAATTTACATTTAAAAACAATTATTTGTATCAGGATCACTTCACAATTACAATTGCTCGAACAATCGAAATAAATAAATAATGAAATTTGATAAATCTACATGTTGATAAATAAATAAATAAATAGTTCTGGTGACGTAATGATTTTCGATCCAATTTGAACTGTGAAAATTGAACCAATTTTTTGCTATTGCATGAAGGAAATAATTGATTTTTTTTTTGACTTTATTATAGAGGTTTTTAGCCGTTGGCTAGTTCATCTCCAATGAAGGAAATAACTGAAAAGTATATTTTTAGTGCAAAGGGAATCGTTATTTTTTTCACTAATCACAGTATAGCTTCCATGATCATATTACGTGTTACCAGTGCACTTGTTACACCATCTTTTTGTAGCTCCACATTCCAACTGCTATCGAATCAATCGAAAAAATCAAACTCAACAACTACATTGGCTACGAGAGAGTCACGCATTGAATTTTTTGTTTATCAATTTGAAATCCATAGTAGCCGTTTGAAAGTGACTGCAATTTGTCTTCACTAGATCTAGAATAAAACCAAATCGAGTCCAAAACTTTGTTTGTGAACGGATAACCATATTGTTCAAAGCAAGAATATCATCATTGTTCTGATTTTTCCTCCCAGCAAACAGTACAATATGATCCAGCAGAATGATTTTTGCTTAAGTAACAGTCAACCATATTTTTCCTTCAAATGTTTATTTTGACGACACTACCAGAGCCATCTTCGATCGTATGGGCTGGGGGAAAATCAATACATAAATGTAGGGCGAAATTCTGATTTGATCAAAAATATCAATGATTATGCACTCTGCTTGACTTTTTTATCTGCATAATATCGCTGTTACAACAATAGAATAAAATGCAAAGTTTAATTTTCTGAAAAATCCTCGATAATTATCAACAAGTTTTATGGTGATGACTGTAATTTTTTGTGGTGGATTCAAATCCTTAAAAAAATAAAAAATCATTCATAAGTTTTTCAACATGGTTACAAGGTTGGGGATTGGTTTTTAAGTCAGGGGAGCGGTTCCATATCATTAAAGCAACGAGTAATTTTCATCTTTTTTGATTTGCATGAAACCTTGCATACAAGTTTTTGGGGAAGAAAAACGCCGTTTTGCATACTTGGTTCGCCATTTTGAATCTAGCCTTACTTATGAGAAGGGCCTATGAAAAATGCACATGATATCTTCAAAAAATTGTATCTCGGAAACGGTTTGTCCGATTGGTTTGGTGTCTTGGGCGAAGTTTTAGACAATTGTTGGTGTTATATGGAAAAAATATGCACGGTAAAAAAAAAAGTTTGGTATTTGTGTTTTGAACTAAAATATAAATTTTCCCTTTAAAGTGACATGTCAATATTTTTTTTATTGTCCTTATGTTATAGCTGACTGAAAATGCTATCTAGTGCACAGTAGATTGTTCTGGAGAAAAATAGGTTACGATGAAAAAAATTGTTTTTTAAAAAAATACAATTTTCAAAAAAGCTATTAAGAAAAGTCAAAAAAGTTTGTCACCCTAATTTTATGAAAGTACATCATATTTGCAAACAAAAAGTACTTCGGTAACATTTTTCTAAGATGCACCGTTTAGAAGATATTACTGATTTAATATTGTTTTTTTTTTAACACTTAATAAGTTTTGGCCCTTTTCGGATGTACTCCGTGCTTTTCCAGTTTCAAAAGTTTTTTTTTCGGAAAGATTTGAAAATTTTGAGTTAAAATGACACTGAGAGCTTAAAGATTCGAGTGAAATTCTCTGCCTTAAAAGTATTTTGAAAAACAAGTTACAAAATCCCACTATCAGGAACAATGATTTCTTCAAGTGATTTTTGGTGCGTTGTGCTGAAAATGTGCATTCAACTCTTGCATATCGCCTAACAGTTTAATCCATTTAAACTGGATGTGTTTATACTGTGCATATTTTCTCTCTATTGCCGAACATCAACACAGACATCAAACCGATGAGACAACTCGATTTCGAGATACACCTTTTTGAGAACTGCAAATGTAAGCTCCTCAATTAGCAAGATTCAAAAGAGCGAATTAAGCTTATTTATCAGGGATGGTGATTGTGCGCAATAAAAAAATAACATTATATGTTGGATATCATCAGTTTATTTTTATTCCTGTATTTTTATAAAATTATTGTTTACACAACTTTCTTAACAATATTGAATATTTTGGCATCATTGTCAGGACAGTTTGAATAAAGCTTTGCCTTTATTGTATTTTCTGATAGAGGAAGAAATGAGTGGAGTTTTAGAGTTCCTTGAATTGTTTTTGCATTATTATATTGATTATTTAGCTGCAAAGACATATTTTCGTATTCTTCTGTAGTAGAATAACAAAATGACAACTTTGTAAGTTCTTCTTCTTTTCGTTTGTTTGCCCAATTAAACAACTCTCTTGCAGTCTTTATCGGGTGTTCGCGTTCTTTGGCTAAACTTGCTCTGGTAGCCATGCGTTTTATCGTACCTCCAATAGCATCGCATGGACCTTTTCCGTGCAATGTTGCGAAGAAATGCCATTCAGCGTCAATACCATACTTTGACTTAAATTTACAAAGGCTAGAAAAGTTTTTTCGGTTTTTATACTGTGAAGCAGCATTATCTCTTTCCTATCTTGCATCTGATGCCATATTTCTACTGGTTTTAAATTCGTCTACAATTTTTTGTACTGACCATGATTTTGGCAACAATGATAAAATTGATAGTTTTTCTTGCCTTGTGGCTGAATTTAAAAATTAATTTTCATATTTTCTATGACTTCATCAAACTCGTTTGCTTTTTCTGTTTTAGCGTCTAATTTAAAAAGATTTCTTCGTACACCTTCGACGATTTCAGCGCACTTTTTTTCAGGATAGTGAACATTTTTAACCTTACCTAAATCTAAAGGCGAAACACGAATAGCTGCTATTCCTCGGTTGAATATTTCGACGTCTACAGGCATCGTGAAGTCTTCATTTGATTTAATTGTGCTTAGCGTTGACTCTGATGGTATCGTGACCAAACTTTCATAGCTTTGCGAATCAGGTACATCAGGTATGGTCTGAACAGTTGGCATCCTTGAGCCGCCGGCTACGCTTTGTTCCTCGTTTTGGGTGAGGTGAGCTCTTGAATCAATATGTAGACGGCAAGACGAACAAACACGAAAATCCTTGGTGTTCAGTGTGGATACCTTGGAAAATCCAATTGATTTTAGTTTTTGGATGATACCATCCGTGAGATATCGCAGCTCTTTCGAACACTGCATGTTTTTGAATGGGCGAATACATCTTATTTTACTCATTTTGTAATCTGTAACATAGAAAATATTTTCCAATTGTTAGTTTTGTACGAAAATATCACAAAACTTATAATTAAAATGTGTATTTAAAACTTACCTTTGCACCAAAACGTGTAACACTTTCCTTTACAATTATTATGTTATCAAACAACACTGGATCTCGTTCAAAAACACAGGATTATGAGCTGAAATTACTATAATCACTATGCTACTAGCAACCTTTCTGCATTTACTGTTTGGTTTTCCCTAGTAGATACTGGATGAATTCAGAACCGAGTCAGACATTATTATACAGCTCTCGGGTAGAAATCATAGAATGCTGGGTAAAGACTGTTGGAAGATAGGTAGAGTTGAACGCTCAGGTATCGTCGAACCTTCAGGTACGAGTTTGGAGAGTTGGAGCGAGGTAGATTTGCTGGCGTAGGTATATTGTTATTGAAGAAGATTGTAAATTTTATATACCTGGAATGAATAAAGAGTGCGGTGGTTGTTGATTGAGGTATCAGTCGGCAGCTCTCTAGTTTGATGGAAGGTGACTACTGCGTTCTTTTTATTTATTATTTAAGGAACGGTCAACGACGGAGCTAGCCTCGTTATGGCCAGCGTGGCCATGGTGGACTAGTTCCAACAAAGACCATGTTTACAATCACCAACTGTACGTAGTACAGCTAACTGGTATCTGATTACCTGTATCTAATACTTGTTAGCACGTTTTCAGCACAACGCACCAAAAATCATTTGAAGAAATCATTGTTCCTGATAGTGGGATTTTGTAACTTGTTTTTCAAAATACTTTTAAGGCAGAGAATTTCACTCGAATCTTTAAGCTCTCAGTGTCATTTTAACTCAAAATTTTCCAATCTTTCCGAAAAAATTACTTTTGAAACTGGAAAAACACGGAGTACATCCGAAAAAGGCCAAAACTTATTAAGTTATAAAAAAAAAACAATATTAAATCAGTAATATCTTCTAAACGGTGCATCTTAGAAAAATGTTACCGAAGTACTTTTTGTTTGCAAATATGATGTACTTTCATAAAATTAGGGTGACAAACTTTTTTGACTTAATAGCTTTTTTGAA